TATATTATTTAATTTTTATGCTATCTTAATTCTAAAAATCTAAATTTTCTATTTTTTCCATTTTAGTATTTTTAATTTCTTCTTTTTTATTTATTTTATAATATTATGTTCTATATACTATAGAGATTTGGGATATAGTTTTTGGAAGTTTTGGCTATTTTTAATGAAAAGTTATTAATATTATAATTTTAAGTGATGTAATGAAAATTTTAAAATATGTAAATACATTTTCAATTTTTGTAATTCAATTATACATTTTTTACAATTTCCATTATATCACTTAAAATTATAATATTAATATCTTTTCCATAAATATAGCCAAATCCTCCAAAACCTATGCTATATCATATAATTTATAGAATATAATAATATAAAATAAAGAAAATACAAAGAAATAAAAAAATGCTGAAATGGAAAAAATAGAAAATTTAGATTTTTTGAATTAAGATAGCATAAAAAAATTAAATAAATTATATTTTCATGAAAAAGATAGAATATATTACCATAGGGACCCTACTTTTAAAGGGGGCTCCTTTTATGATTTCTTTTGTAAAAATAATATATAAATAAATAAATAACTAGATAAATACTAATGAAATTAATAATGACATAAATGAAAATTAATATGTATTGCCTTTGAAATAAGGACATATGTATGACTAAAATGAAAATCATTTACAAAAGGTGACTAGGGTAATTCACCCTTTAAAGTAAATTCTACTTTCACCCTTTATTCAGTTACTTTGTAACACCTACACAAGCCCATATTTTTCTCCACTGACACAATAAAGCAAACACTACAAAAAAACAAAATGCATTTATGTGCAAATGTAATTATTTCTTCAATTTTTTTAACTCATGCCGCTGAGTAAAACCATTCATTTAAACTCCTTAATTGTTGTTTTTCTCTTGGTAATAAATAATACTTCGTACTAATTAAAGCTTTTTCTTGGAAAAAAATATTGCAATAGCTACCGGAGTGGGAAGAGACGAAAGAAGTTGCATGGAATAGGTATAATGACATTGTTCGTACACTTGCTGATAAATATCCTCGTGAGAACTTGCTGCTGGTCACACATGGTAAATATCTATTCTCTATATATTGATTTTAAAAAGGGGTTCAATTCGCATCTCATTTTCCCAAATCTTAAGGTCCTCATGATATAGTATTTATATAATTATATTAGATTTAATTATTTAAAAAATATAAAATGGTTTAAAGGAAAAAACTAGAAGATTGACACTAAAAAATTTAAGAGATAACTAAGTTTCATTGGACTTCAATAATCACCGTAGTTCTAGGGAAAATCCATCCATGTACTTCACTTACCTTGGCAAATTGCAATAATGTTGTTAGTGGAAATGAAATGATACTCCATGTCTCATTCTAGGTTCTTACTTTCTTTTTTCAGACGTTCCATATAAGGGTTCATATTTCTATTTTAGGAATCAATTAACTCTTAAATGACACATTAATCATCAAGTATAAAAAATAATGCAACTATAACATTACAGTTACCATCAAAATTATTTCTCAAACTATATGGTACCCTTAGGACTCGTTTGGTAGTTTACATGTTAAATCTTTGCAAGCAAAACGATTGCATGCAAAGTTTAGGGCCCGGGGAGCAATCACTTTGCATGTAAAATAAATTACATCGTTTGGCTACATATGTAATTTATTTTTTATTTGCACGCAAATGCATAACATTGCTTTATAAAAAAATATTCATAAGTATTTTATCACTCTCCCCCATGTAAAATACTTTACAAGGTACAATGCGAAATGTTTTTAAAAAGTGTCTAACAAATTACATTAAATAATCAAGTCAAACGGTGTAAGCTTTTTATATCCTTACACTTTACACGTAAAATTAGTATTTTGCATTCAACCAAACTTCTTCTGAAGGTATTGTATTAATGTCCCTTGTATAGATATAGACTAATCAATTTAATACAATTAAACAATTAAAATATAAATAAATGGTGGATGATGATGTAGACTAATCATATACTCCGTTCATCCCAAATTGATTTGCAAACTTTGACTTTTTGGGTCAAACAGTTTCATTTTAATCACTTAATTAGGATATCGCTTAATTAAATGTTAATTTGGATTTTGCAACTTTAAAGAGATCTTAATGTAGTTTCTGAATATATAAATTTAATTATTAGAATTGAATTATTTATCCATAGAGAGTAAGATAGTATTTAACTTTAAAATTAGTTGAATGTTGACTTTGCAAAACAAATTGGGAGAGAGGCAGTGTATTATTTACCAGTATGATACTCGATCTCACTTTTTAAATTGGATAATGTAGCATGCTCCGAAAACAATTGGTAAAGTGTTTCTTCATTATATCTCTTATATAGTCTTTCTATATGTGAATTCAAAACCTGCATATAAGGTACAACAACAACATATGTAGATTTGATATTGAACTTCTGGTAAAAGTTTATTAGCTTGTAGTATTACTTGTCACCCCTATAATTTTTGGCCACTACATATATATCTATACAATCTCAAGAAGCGTCATATATACTCATATCTACTATACAAATATGATCATTAGAAGAGTCTTCAATTGTTTGTGTACGAATTCATTTCCCACAAAATAAGAAGAAGCAAGAAGAAATAATACTTAATAATTTCAAATATTGAAGCTTAGATTAATAATTTTATCCTTATATATAAATACCCAAAGTATTTTAAATTTATATTTTAACACTATAAATTTACATTTGTTAAAGGAAAATATATTATGATGGTGCTAAGATAATTTTTTTGTATACATTTTGGGGTATTTTTATTACATATGCAACTTTGGGATGCTTACCTCCACCCCATAAAAGTTTGGGGTATTTAAATTATTTTCCCCTAACAATAATAATAGTAATAATAATAGTAGTAATAATAGTAGTAATAATAATGTTGGGTTAATGGCCCAATGGGGATTGGCCCATAAACCCTTAAAGGCCCACCCTACGAACTTCCCGAGAAGGCCCAAGACAACGGGTTAGTCCCTCTGGCGAGGTTCATCCCCAACGTGGCCAAAGAGCAGGGAACGTACATCTCCTAGCGTAGCAGGTACCTTGACCCAGGAGTAGCACGAGACGCACGTCTGGCAGGGACTTCAGCAGGAAACAGGAGGCAAGCTCATGGGAACAAACGTCCCATGAAGGCTCAAGCCACTAGGGATATCCTCCTCATCATCCAGGGGACGTACGTATCCTAGCGTAGTGAGGTACCTTGGCCCAGGAGCAGCATGAGATGCACGACTCGTTGGGACTTCAACAGGAAACAGGAGGCAAGCTCATGGGGATGAACGTCCCCAGAAGGCCCAAGCCAACGGGGATACCCTCCCCATCATCCAGGGGACGTACATCTCCTAGTGTAGCGGGTACCTTGACCTAGGAGCAGCACGAGACACACGTCTCACAGGGACTTCGGCAGGAAACGGGAGGCAAGCTCATGGGGACGAACGTCCCCAGAAGGCCCAAGCCACCAGGGATACCCTCCCCATCATCTAGGGGACGTACGTATCCTAACGTAACGGGTACCTTGGCCCAGGAGTAGCACAAGACGCACGTCTCGCGGGGATTGGGGACGAACGTCCCCATCCCTTGTAGGAACAGCCAAGATCCTGGCGGGATTCTGCATTTAAAAACAGAAGATTTGGTGGTTGCGCATTTAATACAGAAGATCTGTTGGTCGGGATCAAGCCAGACAAGCCCATGTAGACTAATGTGCCCACCCCTTGGCGTGAAGCCAAGATCCTGGTGGTCACGCATTTAATGCAGAGGATTTGGTGTTTGGGGTCAAGTCATCCACAGCTGGTTCAATGCATCTAACTATCCATTGGCGGTATAAATAGTAGCATTTATTTCATTGTAAAAGGAGGCAACTTAACACTCTAGTATTATAGCATTCTTATTATCTCGTAACATATCTAGTGACGAACGTCCTCACTTTGTAGCACAGCATTTGTACGAACGCATTCACCTTTGTAAGCACGAACGGCCTCACGCCTTTAACCGCAGAATTATATTGAGACTTCTTATTGGGCCTCATCTTACTTGTTTGATCTTACTCTTCCAAAATACCCACTCGAAACCCTTAGGTTGTGTGTTGGGCCTACGGATTGAATAGAATAAACCTCAACACTGGCGCCGTCTGTGGGAAACTGATCAAAAAGTTCTTCCAAAACCAAGCTCTCAGCTGAAAATCAATTTTAAACTCCCAAAACAAGTAAGATGGCAAGGAACAATCAAGGAAACTCCTATGATCTCTCTGAACGGCTGTCACGCAACCGAAGAGCACGCAAGCAGGTGGCAATCGCCCAGTCCAGCAGCTTGTGGAGCCGCCGCGGAGAATTTGAGGTGCTTACTGGCATGATTCACCACGAACTCAGGGGGGACCCTAATGCACTGAGGGAGATGGTGGATACCATCCACCATTTGGTGGACGAGCAGGAGGCGGAGCGTGTGTACTCCGCTAACACCGAGCGTACCCTGTTCTCCCCGATCTGTACTATGCAGACGCTCGACGTGCGTACAAGCGAGACCACGGAGTCTCGCTCCTCGATCCAGACTATGATTGTCACGAACGTCCACTCTCCAGATATGCGTGGAGCTGGGGGAACCAGGCACAGGGTCTTCAAAGGTGCGCAGCAGCACGCGGCCCGGAAGCAGACCCCTGTTATCAACGGCTTGAGGCAGGAGCCCCGGGTCATTAACAGGCAGCATGGCGCTGACGCCGTGCGTACCCAAAATGCCTTGGCACTGATGACCCCTATAACCCCAGTCACCGAACCCTGAGATGCGATGCTCGTGGACCTCCAAAGGCAGATCAATGAACTGAGCCGACTAGTGGATACTGACCCAGCTCAGCCCAGGTTTGCAGTACTCTCTCCCCTCCACCAGAATCATGGCGGTAGAGATTCCAAGGAACATTCGGTCATCCGGTGCCCTGACTTATAATGGAGTTGGGGACCCGAAAACCCACCTAATTTCATTCTAGGGAGAACTCTCCATGTTGGGAGCCTCCGATGAGGCCATTTGCAGGCTGTTCTTCAACACCCTTAGAGGGCCGGTGCAGGAATGGTTTGGGCAGCTCAGACATGGATCCATTAAAAGCTTTGAACAACTCTCCAGAAAATTCGTGGCGCAGTTTGTCTCCAGTTGCACGCCGAGGAGACACTTTAGCTAGTTGACGAGCGTCCACCAAGGGAAATAGGAAACCCTATCCACCTTCCTCCCTGAAGGTTGAGGACCTCACGAAGTGCACAGGCATCACACTCTTCACCAACGCACTTATAACCGGGGATCTGTACATGGATTTGAAGAGGAACCCCGGTAGCAGTTATGTCGAGGTGATGGTCAGGGCACAGAAATATGTGGCGGTCGAGGAAGAAATTGCCCAACGGGATGGGACATCCGTCCCTGCAAACCGCAAGATGTCGGACCGTCTGGGGCCAGGGCCATCAGACCCCCCCAAACACAAAAAAGAAGAAGACGAGCGGTGATTACGCCCCTTGGGGACCCTAAGGTCCTGCAGACAATGTCCGGTGGGAGTTTACCAGACTCACCCCCTTGGCGTTCACGGTGAGCCAAATCTTTGAGGCCATCGAGGATGAAGGCATGCTCGAAGTGCCGCCCGTCGCCAGAGACCCAATGGGAAAGAAACTCAATGCCTACTGCGAATATCATCACAAGGAAGGGCACAACACGGATCACTGCAACACCCTGAGGATGGTCATTGAAGGACTTATTTGGAGGGGCTACCTCGGAGAGTTCACAGGGGGACCGATCCCTCAGAACCAGAAACAGCCGAACCAGGAACCATTCACGTAGTGCAGGGACGATCAGCGGGAGGCAGAGGTCCAAGACGCCGATTATCGCCATGCCAATAAACGCCCGGAGGGATCCTTCGGGCCGGACGGCCACAAGAAGAAATTGGAGATCAAGTGATCTTCGGGGAGCAGGGTATACGCCCGTCGGATGTTCTTCCTCCACAGCATGGATAGACATGTTGCTAGCATGTGGAACGTAGAGCACGTGAAGAAATCTTATCAGTGACACCCATTGTTCTAAAACTCGCTAGGCGCTAGTCGGGCGGTTGAGGGGCGCCTAGCGCCTAGGCGGCCGACTAGGCCGATTTTTTGGCCAACTAGGCCGATTTTTTGGCCGACTAGGCCGATTAGTGTTCCTCAGTTAGGGCCGCCTAGGCCGATTAATCGGTCCGACTAGGCCGATTTTTAGAACAGTGGTGACACCATTTTGCTAAAGTCTTTCCTCCCCAAAAAATAAAAATTAAATAAAATAAAAAAGAAAATGGGGGAAGAGGGAGACATAACTCCCGAGGTCAGGGAATCACAAAGAGGATAAACTTGTTCTCCATCAAAGAAAACTAATCAGTGCGGTACGGCCTCATGGCTTAAGTTGCCAGTGTGGTGGGAAGGTGGACGAACGTCTCCAAGACGATAAAACGTTCTCCATCTCGAAACACTAACCAGTGCGTTACGGCCTCAGGGATTAAGTTGCCGGTGCGGTGGGAAGGTGGACGAACGTCCCCAAGAGGACAAATCGTTCTCCATCTTTGAGCACCAACCAGTGCGGTACGGGCTCAGGGCTTAAGCTGTCGGTGCGGTGGGAAAGTGGACGGACGTCGGATAAATCGTTCTCCATCTCGGAACACTAACCAGTGCGGTACGGACTTAGGGCTTAAGCTGCCGGTGCGGTGGGAAGGTGGAAGAATGTCCCCAAGAGGATGAAACGTTCTCCATCTCGGAACACTAACCAGTGCGGTACAGCCTCTGGGCTTAAGCTGCCGGTGCGGTGGGAAGGTGGACAAACGTCCCCAAGTGGACAAATCGTTCTCCATCTCGGAACACTAACTAGTGTGGTACGGCCTCAGGGCTTAAGCTGCCGATGCGGTGGGAAGGTGGACGGACGTCGGATAAATCGTTCTCCATCTCGGAACACTAACCAGTGCGGTACAGCCTCAGGGCTTAAGCTTCCGGTGTGGTTGGAAGGTGGATGAACATAGGATAAATCGTTCTCCATCTCGGAACACTAAATAGTGCGGTACGGCCTCAGGGCTTAAGCTGTCGGTGCGGTGGTAAGGTGGACGAATGTCCCAAGAGGACAAATCGTTCTCCATCTCGGAACACTAACCAGTGTGGTACGGCATCAGGGCTTAAGCTGCCGGCGCAGTGGGAAGGTGGACGGACGTCGGATAAATCGTTCTCCATCTCGGAACACTAACCAGTGCGGTACGGCCTCAGGTCTTAAGCTACCGGTGCGGTGGGAATGTGGATGAACGTCCCCAAGAGGACAAAACTTTATCAACCTAAGAACACTAACCCGTGCGGTACGGCCTCAGAGCTTAAGATGCCGGTGCGGTGGGAAGGTGGATGAACGAAACAAGGGAAACCCAAAAGCAGGAAACTCGTTCGTCGCCAAAGACCGGCGAGAAGCCAAGGTAGAGGCCGAGGGTCTGGAGACAAGTATCTCCACTTCAGAGGCTGAGGCTTTGGAGACAAGCATCGTCCACGAAGAGGCCGAGGGCCACAGGATGAGCCTCAAGATGGCCTTGAGACGCCCAGCATATCCACAGAGTGAGCCTGCTAAGGCTGATTGTATCGAGAACATGACATCCCAAGGAGAACCAGCCCGACATCTGGAGTACGGACGTCCCCAGAGACATACAACAGAGAATATCGTTCCCTCTAGATGGGAAGACGTACGTCCCCATTGGCTGTTTACATAGATGGCCGGGTACGGCGATCCAGCGAATGAAGAAAGCAAGACGTATGGAGATCTAGAATACAAGAGACAATCGTCGCGTCAAGGGCGTCTGCTAAAAAAAGTACACCAGAATTCATGGTAGAGCGGAATATACTATTTTTCCTCCATTAGGATTTTTCCCACAGGGTTTTTTCCTCAGCCGAGTTTTTAATGAGGTACCCCCTGCCTATGACTTGGGAGGCGCCAAGGGTATTGGTTGGCGACGTATGTCGGATTCAATTCTACTTCCTTATGTCCCGTGCACGCTCGGAACATCAGAAGTGGGGGACTTGTGTTGGTTTAATGCCCCATTGAGGATTGGCCCATAAACCCTTAAAGGCCCACCCTACGAATGTCCCGAGAAGGCCCAAGACAATGGGTTAGCCCCCCTGGCGAGGTTTGTCCCCAACGTGGCCAAAGAGCAAGGGGCGTACGTCTCCTAGCGTAGCGGGTACCTTAACCCAGGAGCAGCACGAGACGCACGTCTCGCAGGGACTTCGGCTGGAAACAGGAGGCAAGCTCATGGGGACGAATGTCCCCTGAAGGCCCAAGCCACCAGGGATACCCTCCCCATCATCCAGGGGACGTACGTATCCTAACGTAGCGGGGTACCTTGACCCAGGAGCAGCATGAGACGCACGTCTCGCTGGGACTTCGGCAGGAAACAAGAGGAAAGCTCATGGGGACGAATGTCCCCAGAAGGCCCAAGCCAACGGGGATACCCTCCCCATCATCCAGGGGACGTACGTCTCCTAGCGTAGCGGGTACCTTGACCCAGGAGCAGCACGAGACGCACGTCTCGCAGGGACTTCGGTAAGAAACAGGAGGCAAGCTCATGGGGACAAATGTCCCCAGAAGGACCAAGCCACCAGGGATACCCTCCCCATCATCCAGGGGACGTATGTATCCTAGTGTAGCGGGTACCTTGGCCTAGGAGCAGCACGAGACGCACGTCTCGTAGGGATTGGGGACGAACGTCCCCATCCCTTGTAGGGACATCCAAGATCCTAGCGGGATTCTGCATTTAATACAGAAGATTTGGTGGTTGCGCATTTAATACAGAAGATCTGGTGGTCGGGATCAAGCCAGACAATCCCATGGGGACGAACGTGCAAGTCGTGGTGGTAGTGGTGGTAGAGGTGGTAGTGGTGGTAGTGGTAGTAGTGGTGGTAGTGGTGGTAGTAGTAGTAGTTGTTGTTGTTGTTGTGGTAGTGGTGGTAGTAGTAGTTGTAGCCAAGATCCTGGTGGTCACGCATTTAATGCAGAGGATTTGGTGTTTGGGGTCAAGTCGTCCACAGCTGGTTCAATGCATCTAACTATCCATTGGTGGTATAAATAGTAGCATTTATTTCATTGTAAAAGGAGGCAACTTAGCACTCTAGTATTATAGCACTTTGATTATCTCGTAGCATATCTGGGGACGAACGTCCTCACTTTGTAGCAAGGCATCTGTACGAACGGCTTCACCTTTGTAAGCACGAACGGCCTCGTGCCTTTAACCGCAGAATTATATTGAGACTTCTTATTGGGCCTCATCTTACTTGTTTGATCTTACTCTCCTAAAATACCCACTCGAAACCCTTAGATTGTGTGTTGGGCCTACGGATTGAAGGGAATAAACCTCAACAAATAATAACAACAATAATAATAGTAACAATAATAACATTAACAATAACAAAAACAACAATACAAATGATTATGATACATTATTATTATTATTATTATTATTAATGCGTTAATTTCTTTTTGTTTTATTTTTGAAATTTTCTCATACATATGTTGCTATGTATCAGCTGAAGGAGTAGTCGCTTTGTCATCTACATTCATGAATGGTACTCGTGTACGAGTGGATTACTGTGGATATGTACACTTAAGGAGACCTATTACAAATGGGGTGTCATCCTTTTCAAGGAGATCTACTATTAATTTGATGTTACAGGGTCAATCTGGCATTACGTTGCGTGAAAAATAAAATGATCAATCATCATCACCATAATCATTATTGTTAAGGAGAGCTATTATTAATTTAATATTATAGGGTCAATCAGGCATTACATTGCGTGAAAAAAAAGCTCAATCACCATTACCATCATTATTGCTGAATAATCCCCATTGGGAATTCTTTATTTCCATATCTTGATTATGAACCTTTGTGGAATGTACTTTAAATCGTCCTATCGATATACTCTACGTTGCTCTCTTTTTTATATTACTTTGTCCTCAATATTTATGGTAGTTAATTTTATTATGCATGTAATTGTATTTATTAGGGTACTGACATTGAAATTAATTGCATTTTATGAAATTTGATGAAATTTTATTTACTGAAGCTCTATGAAAAATAACTAAAATGATCATCCACGGTAATTTGAGGTAATTCAGCCAGAAAAGTAAATTTAAACTTACTTATTTTGATAATTACACAATCTAAGACGTGAAATCAAAAGTTGTGTTGCTTGTGCATTTGATGAAAAATTGATTGTTAAGGTGGATAAGTTAAAAACATATGTTATTAAATTGATTCTAAATTAAAGTTTATATGTGAGATGAGTCCATATAATAGGAAAGAGAATCAAAATGTAATTAGCAAAGAAAATAACAAAAAAATAATAATACATACTATATATATATGATATTCTTCATATAATACGAAGTATTTCTTAATATAACATAGATATCTTTGCTTATATAATAATGCCAACCAACGTTTACATGGTCCTTTTTTCGTTAACTCTCTGGCATTTTCTTTACAGCCCATATCTCAAATCCCTAACGTGCGTCCTCTTTACCGCATGTAACTAAAAAACTACATGTCTAACCGTTAATGCATACGCTTTTAAAGCGTCGATTCAGGCATCTCTTCAACTGCCAAAGAATTTTTTTTTTACCCCGGAAGGTAAACCACCAAAATCAGTGGGGCAAATGCCGGGGGAACATTTTCCAAATTTATTAAATCAATTAGAGATTACACAATGAGGGGGACAAGACCAAACCTCAAAAGAGTACAAAAGGAATTAAATCAAAAATCTAATAGATGGGAGCCCAAAGGAGTCCATATTTAGAGCCCGTTTAGCATTGATAGGGAGACTACCCATGTTCCTAAAAAATTCCAACTGGGCCGCTCCATCCGTAGCCAACATATGAGCGACCGAATTACCCTCACGCCATGTGTGAACAAAGGAAACCGAAGCCTTGTCGGTAAACAACATGCTTGCCTGAATCTCCTTCCGCCATTTTCTCCCATCTGGATCCAACAGGTATGTAATCGCTAACTTCGCATCAGTTTCTACCTGAAAATTATTGTAACCTTCTTTAATTGCCCAGCCAGCCGCGAATAGTATGGATTTAACTTCCGCCTCAAGAGGAGATGAAGCGAGAAGAGGAAATCGGAGGGCGAACAACATCTTCCCCTGAGTATTCCTCATAACAGCACCACCTGCAGCCCGATTAGGTAAGAAAGATGCATCTGTATTCAATTTCAAACCCATCGTTGGCTTAATCCATTTGACAAGCACGAACCAATTGCAATGAAGCTTGAAATTATTTGGAATGATTTTTTCTTCAAAAAGAACAGAACCAATCGAAGTAGCCTTTAGATTCGACATAGTGTATGACCATTGCTGAGTGTTGAGTTTTATCTGTTGAATCAACTGTTCAGGGGAAGGGGGTTTTTTTTCATCACCCCAAATTATGCTTGAATAGACCTTCCAAATGTGCCAACAAATAATTCCTGGAAGAATATTTTTAAACACATCTTCCAGCTTCTTTCTACCAGCTTTGATCCACCAGCACATAAGAATATGTCTAATAGAAGCATTACCAGTAGGTATTTTAATCCTAAAAATGCCCATAAAGTAATGCCAAATATAATAAGAGAATTGACACTGAAAGAAAAGATGATTAACAGAGTCCTCCTGACTCCTACAAATTGGGCATATAGAAGGATTGAGAACAGTATGAAATCTGCTCAAATTATTTGTTATGGGTAGCATATCATGAAACAGTTTCCACAAAAAAAATCTTCACTTTAAGCTGCTGTTTTGGATGCCAGATGGATTTAAAAGTTAATAAGCTTCCTTTCTCCTCTCTAATGTAGTTCTATGTAGACTGAAAGCTAAATTTACCATTGTCCTCAAGCTCCCAGATATCATCCCCTTCTGAATTAGTGTAGGAAACAGTGAGTCCCAAGGAATTAGCTGAACATATCCTCCTCCAAATAGCTGAATCTGTAATTTTAGGTGGTAAACTTGCATCCCTTTGATATCTAGATTTGATAAAGTTTTTCCAGTAGGAGCTACCAGCTTTCCATTTCCACCACAACTTAAGAGTAAAAGCTTTCTCTAGGTCAGTCAAAGATCTGATTCCTAATCCCCCTTCTGTAATAGGAACACATAGATGTTTCCATCTCTTCCAATGATATTTAGGCTTTTGATTTGATGATCCCCAGAAGAAATTTGACATTTTACTCTCAAGGATTCTCTTTACTTTTCTGGGCAGGTTATCAGCAGCTAAAGTATGTAGAGGTATAGAGTTCAAGACATGTTTGATCAAAATCAGCCTACCACTCTGAGATAAGTTTTTTTGTCTCCAAGGAGTTAATTTGCTTTCAAATTGTTTGATAATATGATCACAGAATTTATATCTATTGATACCTTTATGTAAACTCACTCCCAGGTACTTCATAGGTAAGGAAGCCAGCTTCACACCAAGCAGATTTTTGATGGAGTTCTTCCTATTTTCAGCATCTTTCCCACAGATGACTGAGCTCTTTTCTAAATTGACTGTCTGACCAGATGCAGACTGGTAAGTTTCAATGAAACCTTTAAATTTAGCAAGGGATCTTATGTCACCATTCAAAAAAATAAGTAGATCATCAGCAAAACCCAAGTGAGTAACCGGCCAGCCTTGTGTTCCAAGATAATATGGCTTAATTAAACCATTTTCAAAGTGCCAATTTAGACCTCTAGAGAATCCTTCAGATGCAATGATAAATAGATAAGGAGAGAGGGGATCTCCCTGTTTAACCCCTCTGAGAGGTTTAAAAAAGCCTTTAGGATTCCCATTAATTAAAATGGATAAGAAAGTAGCTTCAAGATTTTTGATCACAATATTAATAAAATGATTTGAGAAGCCAAACTTCCTTAACACTTCTGAGAGAAACTTCCAAGAAACTTTATCAAATGCCTTTGCCATGTCCAGCTTGATCACCACATTGGATCCCCTGACCTTTCTGTATAGGGAGTGTATCATTTCTTGAGCAATTAAGACCTGGTCATTTATATCTCTGTGTTTAATAAATCCTGCCTGTTCTTGAGATATAATTTTAGGCAAAATATTACTCAACCTGTTTGCCAACACTTTTGTACAGATTTTACTCATAAAGTTTGACAAACATATAGGTCTGAACTCAGCAAAAGAATTAGGTCTTTCCTTTTTAGGTATAAGAATAATCCAAGTACTGGAAAAGCCTTTAGGAATGGGATTTCCTAAAAAGAAATCCTGAACAGCCATAATCAGATCAGACTTGATGATGCCCCAACACTTTTGAAAAAACTTACCATTAAATCCATCTGGCCCTGGTGCTCCCTTCTTATTAAGGCTCCAAACTGCCCCTTTAATTTCATCTTCATCTGGAAGTTTAATCAGCATATCATTATCCTCCTGACTAACAATTTTAGGAATAAATTGCAGAATTTTCTCATAACTAGTGCTATCATCATCAGAATAAAGTTTTTGGAAAAAGTTGACTGCCTCACTGACAATTTCAGGTTCAGAATAGATCAAAGCACCATCTGCATTCTGAATAGAGGTAATTTTCTGCATTTTATTCCTGATTTTGACAAAATTATGATAAAAGTGGGTGTTTGCATCTCCCTCCTTGAGCCATTTGATCTTAGCCTTTTGTTTCCAAAATTTTCTTTCTAGCTTGTACTTAGAAAGAAGCAGAGCTCTAGAATGAGACCATAATTCTCTATTCTCAGTGGAAGGAAAATCTTCAAATTTCTTTTCTGCCAAAAGAACTTCATTTTCACATACTTTGATGTCTTCAAAAATATTGCCAAAAGTGGAATGATTCCATGTTTTAAGATCTTTCTTAAGTTGTTGCAATTTAAGAACCATTCCTCTCATGCCTCCCCCGGTGTGAATAGAATTCTAGCTCTTGGTAACAACTTCTAAAAAGGTGTTATGGGACAACCAAATATTTTGAAACCGGAAGGCCTTAGGGTATATAGTCTCCTTATTAAAACATTGAACCAGTAATGGCATGTGATCAGAAGAAGAACTATTCAAATGTGAAATTTGAATATTCTCATAAAAATCTATGAAGCTGTGATTAACTAGACATCTATCCAGCCTCCTCCAAACTCTACCATTAGCTCTTACCCCTGTCCACATGTATTTGCATCCAGAGTAAGGTAGATTAACCAAGTTGCAGCTGGCAATACAATCAGAGAACTCCCTTAGACTGGTAAGCACAGGTATTCCCCTCCCTTGATGTTCATTGAATGTCGCAATTGTGTTAAAATCTCCTCCTATTATCCAGGGTTCCTTAATGTTTTTGGAAAGATCAATCAAATCAGTCCATAAGGTTCTTCTTTCAATGTAAGTATGTCTCCCATATATAGCAGTAAATTTTCCTGTGAACTCATCTTTTTGCACCTTGAAATGGACAAACTGCTCTTCCCACAAGAACTCAGATAGATCAACTTTGTTAGGATCCCAAAAGATCCATATTTTATTAACTTCAGAAGTACTAACTGCATTAAGACCCATCTGGGCTGAATAGGAATCTGCCTTAGACCTGTCCACCATAGGCTCAATAACAATTACAAAATTAATTCTCCATTGTTTAATTAGGGAATTAAGTCTAGAAATGGAGGATTCTAGACCCCTAACATTCCAAACTAAACAATTCATTTAGACTCCTTAGGAGAAGTCTGTAAGAACCCTTGGTTATCTTTCTTTCTAGCTGCATTTCTGGTGGTCATAGATGAACCCCCCACCTCAAGTTTCCTCCTTGTTTTCCTTTTGGTGACCAGGGTGAATTCATCTTGTTCAACATGTGTTGTGCACTGTTCACTAATTTCTGCCCCCTCCCCCTGTTCTTTCTCTCTTTCTGTTTCTTTCATCTTTTGTTTGATTATTTCCACTTTATCCCATATTTCAGGCCAACCTTTATGCCATGCTTCACAATCAACTATGCTAGGACTC